TAAGGTTGTATTTTCCAACTACCAGTGCTTCTTCTTTGTTTCCAACTTTTGCAATCTAATCACCAGTAATTATCAATACATCTTGATTGCAAATTTGTTTGATTTCAGATTGCAGAAGTTGGTAAAAAAAATCTTCAATTCCTTCATCATTGGCTCTAGTAGTTGGTGAGTAAATTTGAATAATAGTAGTATTACCTGGTCTTCCTTGTAGACGTATGGATATTACACTATCACTGACAGCATTGTACTTTAGTATAGATCCTGAAATGTTCTTTTTGACCATGAATGTGACACCATTCCTCTTTGTCTTTCCTGGCACTGTAGACTATATGATTGTCTGAATCCTAATGGCTAATACCAGTACATTTCAGCTCACTAATTTCTAAGATATTGATCTTTATGCATTCCATTTCATTTTTTACAATTTCCAGTTTTCCTAGATTCATACTTCTCACATTCCTCATTCCAATTATTAATGGATGCTTGCAGCTCTTTCTTCTCATTTTGAGTTGTGTCATATCAGAAAATGAGTCTCAAAAGTCTTTCTTCATCCACTTCATTAAGGTTGACTCTAATTTCATGAGGAAACTCTTCCCCAGTCACATTTCGAATACCTTCCAATCTGAGGGCCTCGTCTCTCAGCACTATATCTGACAATGTTTCCCTGCTATTCATAAGTTTTCAGTGGCCAGGGTTTTCAGAAGTGGGCCTGGCCACATCCTTCTTACTAGTCTGTCTTAGTCTGGAAGCTCTCCTGAAACCTGTCCACGATGGGTGATCCTGCTGGTATTTGAAATACTGGTGGCATAGCTTCCAGCATCACAGCAACACACAAGCCTCAACAGTACAACAAAGTGACAGATGAGTACTACTAGTAATATTTAGTAAAAATTGAGTTATTGGGAATCCTTAGAAATTAATTTCCTTTATTTTTTACATTTTAAATGGAAATATTTATTTAGCACATACTTTCCTATTTTTCTTCAGCAGAGAGTATTGAATATAATTAGACTCTTACTTTTGGACTGAGAGTTGTCATTATTGATAATTGACATCAATTTTTGTATTTTGCTATAATGTAACAATGCTCACAGCTTAGTATAGTATATGGGTTTGTTTTCTAATTTACTAAAGAATTTCAGACTATTATGTAACAATTTCTCACATCTGTTTTGTTATAACCTTCCTTTCTTTTACCTTGTCCAAAAAAAGCTGTCACATTTTTATATTATTATTTTTACTTCTATCAGGGTGCCTTCATACACCAGCATGTATCTCAAATGTCCCTATTTTGTTATTTCTAATCTGTTATACATTTGGAAACAAGATTTATTATAATTGTGTATAAAGTCAGTTCATCATACATATAATAAGAGAAAATGGGTTTTATGATCAAGGGTCATTCAAGTGGTAAAGTACATGGTTCTTGTGGCATCTGTGGTGGATGTATTCTGGATAAGTGAAGTTATTAGATAGCTGAATTTCATATTCATATGCATTTGATATTATTTTACAACATTTTGCTATTTGATAGGTACATAAATATAAATATCTAGTAACCTAGTGTTGAATAAGCCATAAATTTGTAACGTACTAAGAGCATTCTCAATCTCCCTGAGTTAAGGTAGGTATTGTATGATGAGAACATGGAAGGTTATTTGTTTGTCTTAGAAACATGGGTGAAAGTGACCCTCTACATATAGTAGTTCTTGAGTTCAAATTTTACCAGTTAAATATCTTATCCCATTAAAAATTCCTTTATGGAATGCTTATATTTTTTGGAAACATTCTGAACAAAGTCATCATGCTTTCCATATGTGGTTCTCTTAATAATTCATAACAAGATAGCTTATTTTCAACACATATAAAATTCTTTTTGGACAATAGATTGAAATTTTATTTATCCAAAGACATTATATTATATTATATATAATATATAATTATATATATTATATATTACCTGTTTAAATATTCCTCAAATATATACTTTAAAACCTTTCAGTTTTTCTCCCTTGCTTCCTTTCTCTGTGGCATTTATATATGTCCTCAGCTTGTATTTCTTACTTTTACTGTTTAGTGAAAGTAAATTAGAATGATTTTTCAATTCCCACAAAACCATTTGAAGCAACATGGAGCATCTCAGTTTTTGGAATGTTTTTCATAGGAGAAATACTAATTATAAAACTGAATGGACAACAGGGCTGACTATTTCAGGGTTTTCTCAACACTACTTGTGTTGTAGTGGAAGGAGAATGTGCTTTGAAGTCAGAATTGATTTTGAATCTGTCCTCTGCCACTTGCTGGCAGGGTACCTTCCTCAAGCTACTTAATATTTCTGAACCTCAGTGTCTTCATTTACATAATTAGGAAACTAATACTGACCAAAGGAGCTAATATATGCAAAGGACACATAATAGGTGTTCAATATGTGTTAGTTTTTATTGATAGTATCACAGCATCTTTGATTTTGTATACAGTATAAATGAACATTTAAAATTATGTAAGTTATGTGCTCTTGAAAAACATATCATACAAAAGTTAACCAAATACTGCTCGCACCATTTTTGTGCAAGGCTAGCTCGTTTAATATTTTGTTTATGTTTTTATCTTAATAAATAAATGTGTTTTGGTAGTTAATAATATGGCATGCGTTTTGAAATAATGATAAAGTTCAATAATCACACTATATAATCTAATATACCTTCTTGACTATTTCATGAAGAACCATGATTCACTATAATGCTACTAAGATAATTATAATAAATTACTTATATAAAAATACATATTTTATAATCAAGTCTTCAGTGCCAACCACAGGCGGTATTTTTATTGGTAACAATTTTTCTGTTTATAAAAGTCATACATATTCATTATATAAAATTTGCTAAGTAGGGAAAAGTGTAAAGAAGAAAATAACTATTATTAAATTAATAATTAACTGGGGAAAATATTTGCAACTTGTGATAAAGTATTACAAACTTTAGCAGGGAATTTTCTCATACAAACCAATTTCAAAAGACAAACTCACCAGTATAAAAGTGAGTAACATTAATGGACAAGCAATTCTATTAATGTAATTGAGTAGTCATAAAATTGTAAATCAAAACAGCAATTATATACCTTTTATTAAAATCTAGACTAGTAAAACCTAAAAATAATAATAATTCAAAGTCTTGGTGATGATATGAGGAAACCAGAACTCTCATACACTGATAGGCACTTTGAAAACATACTGTCAAAAGTCCAGCAATTTCCCTTCTAAGATTGCATTCTAATGTACCAACAGCACAAAGATGCATATGCAATGACATGCATTGCAATGTGGTTTCTAATAATGAATTCTAAATGATCTAAATATCTAGCAACAAAAATAATTAAACACAAAGATTACAAATGTAAATTTGTTTAAGAATATTATAAGCATTTTCCAATGTCATTAAATATCCTATCTTTAGTATGCTTTCTAATTTTCACTATTACAAATAATTATATGATCAACATCATTGCCCATCAATTTTGTCTACACCTTTGATTATTTTTAGGATAAATTCCCAGAAGTGGATTTACAGGTCAGAAGATATAAACATTTTTAAGATTCTGGATAAACATAAATTGGCTCAATTTCAACGAGAAGCAGAACAATAGTATACTCTGTTTGCAAAGTATGTAACTGTACCTGTGAGTTTATTAAGTTTGAATCTAGATCATCTTTGATCTTATATTTTAGTTAATTTTTCTTTTACTTTACCTTTTTTCTTTTTCTTTTTTTAGGCCTTGTTTCGATGACAAATAAGAATATAATTTATTACTTAGACATTAATTTTTCTTGGTTCATTGCTAAGATTTTTTTCATATCATTTCTTGTGCTTCCAGACGTGGGTTGGCAATAAGAGAAGAAAAATGAGTACTAAGAATTCTGAATCGGGAGCAGCTACACCAGGAATTGTTTCCGGTACCTCTTTGGCAGTTCCAGATGTTACAGTCAGAAATGTAGTTAATATTGCTCGACCCTCAACCCAACAGTCTTCTTGGACAGCTAGCAATAATGATGTCATTGTAACTGGTATATATAGTCCAGCCAGTTCATCAAGTAGGCAAGGGACAACTAAACATACAAATACACAAATTACAGAAGCACATAAAATTCCTATTCAGAAAAACTCCAGTAAAAATGATACTGAGTTTCAGTTACACATTCCCGTTCAAAGACAAGTAGCACACTGCAAAAATGCCTCCTTGCTCCTGGGAGAAAAAACGATTATTTTGTCAAGACAGACAAGTGTGCTAAATGCTGGAAACTCAGTATACAATCACACGAAGAAAAACTATGGAAGCTCTTCAGTGCAAACTTCTGAAATGATGGTACCCCAAAAGCCATCTGTGTGCCAGCGATCTTGCAAAATTGAACCTATTGGGATTCAAAGATCATATAAGCCTGAACACACTGGTCTGGCTTCACATAACTCATGTGGGCAAAAGCCAACTATTAGAGACCCTTACTGTAGGACACAAAACTTAGAAATCCGTGAAGTATTTTCATTGGCAGTTAGTGATTATCCTCAGAGAATTCTGGGAGGAAATGCCCCACAAAAGCCTAGCTCAGCAGAAGGAACTTGCTTGTCTATTGCAATGGAGACTGGAAATGCTGATGACGAGTATGCCAGAGAGGAAGAGTTGGCATCAATGGGAGCACAGATACCAAGCTACTCAAGGTTTTATGAAAGTGGCAGTTCCCTTCGAGTTGAGAACCAAAGTACAAATTTGTCTGGACCAGGAAGAAATATGTCAAATTCACAAATGGTGAATATTAGAGACTTGTCAGACAATGTACTGTATCAGAACAGAGACTACCACTTGGCACCACGGACCTCATTACATACAGCATCTAGTACAATGTACAGTAATGCAAATCTATCACGGAGTAATTTTCCCCCACATTTTGCACCATCAAACCAATTGAGATTATCACAAAACCAAAACAATTACCAGGTAATGTGCAAGTTTATTTTATAAAGACTGTTTAAAAAATAATGTTTGGTTTAAAAGCTGTGTTATATTCAATCAGAACAGGAATCTGGGTCATTTAACTCATATTTTGAAGTAATTTGACATTTTTGCTTGAAAGTAATAGGTTGAGGTCAACATTTTGAAGACTTGTGTTTTCTGTCTTGTTTTAAAATGATTTTCTTTCCACTGAACATAGTCATTTGCATAACATGACAGCTTTCCTCTGACATTTAAAAGGAAGTATGACATTTCCCATCATTAAAATGGTATTGAATTGGTTAGGCTCATTCTCTTGAACATAGATTATTTCTGTAATTTCTGTAATGGTGTTACCTGCTGTTTGGGGGAAATGCCAGTAGATGAGTGGTGCCTTTCCTGAATACATAACTAAGCAAGTCAATCATTTTTATAGGAGCTGGTGACTGAGAAATCAAGGTCTGCAATAAATCATTCAACTGCTTTTCCTAAAAGTAAACACTATATTAAAACATTAAGGGGACTATTATTCAAATAGTCTTTTTAATTTTTTTAATGTTTATTGGGAAGCAATTTTAGGCTTGGCCACAAAATAAGTGTTATTTCTTTACTGTTTCACATATTAAGTTGTTTAGATAGGCTTCAAATAATCTATTTAACAGTGTTGTAGAGCAAATGGCAAACTCTGGTTGAAACTAAAGTAAAGAGTTTTTCCTGAGGGGTAAGGCAATTTTCAAATTGGGAATCACAAAGTCCAGAGGATTCTGATCCAAGTGATCCAAGGAAGTTGGTCTGGTCAATGAGTTCATATTAAAAAATACAAAGAAATTCAGTAAAAATTCAGTGATAAGTTGACATTTAGGTAATGATTACAAAATTGGGTGCTGGTACATCTATTTGGTAGGAAATTGCATACGTTTCTAAAGTTGTTTTTTAAAGTTACACAGAAATTATTCATTGGGTTTATCTGGCCTCAGAACAATCATGAGCTCCTCCTTGCATGACTGCAGGAAATACATGTGTAATTCTAAAATGTATTTTGAGTAGGCATGTGTTCTTAGAATTATTTTGGACCTGGCTTCCTAGGCAGCAAACAAAACCTATAAACAAACAAAATTACATTGTCTTTTGAAATTGTTTACCATGTAATTTTCTCAGGATACATTGGAGAGTTATAGGAATGATAAGCTGTACTCCTGATGCAGAAGTTACTTTTAATTCAAAATGTAGCTTCAAACTCAGATTTTAGCATAGCCACCATTTCTTGTGAGAGGTCCTAAGTTAATTTGAGGTGCCCTTGCTCAACAGTGAGGTATAAGCCTACCTCAGAACATCACTTAAGACCATAGATCTTCCTACAATATTCTCTGAAAAATTTTGTACAGAGAATTTGAACAGCAGGTTAGGATGGTTTACCATTTTTCCTTGTTACTGGCTAGATCTTTCAATCTGTTAAACAACGGTGTTTAAGGTTTATCTATATTTAAGATGCTTCCAGGATGTTCTCAACCAATTTAAGGAACCAATTTTCTTCACTCCCTTTCTCTTATAATCTGCTTCAAAATGAAAAATAAAAACTCAAGCAGTAATGTAGTATAAGAAGTATCCCTGTGGCCCCTACCTGTAGCAGAAAAGGAGCTTGATTATCATAATTAATTGTTGTTTCCTATTTAGAATCTACTTGTTCTCTTGCATTTCGTCCTTCCTAAAGCATGCTCGGAAAGAAGATGGGGCAATCTACTTCTTCCGTAATGATACTGTCTTGGAAACCTAAGGAGGGGTCGCTATGATTCGGGTCCAACTCAACAGCACATAACAACAACAACAACAAAGCATGCTCAAAATAGCATTGAACCATACAATAGCATTGAACAATAGCATTGATCCTCCCAAACTCCCTTTCATTCACCTATTTATTTGGATTTCTTTACCCCTTCAATGTTCTTAGCAATGATAATAACAATAAGATTGACCTTTTTTTTTTTTTTTTTCTGAGGGCCTACCATTTGCCAGACACCATTT